GCTTGACAAATTTTAAAAGTTTGTTTAGTCAGTAAATTTATCTTTTTAATATTTAAGCCATTATTGCATAGATCTTATAGTTAATTTACGTGAAAGATGGACTGTGACTGCAACCAACTAAAAACATGATTACAAAGTAGAAAGTCCAGCACATCCAAATCCATGCACAGGAATCTGGTGGATGGTTTGCCAAAGTGACCTTTAAAGTCTCTTCTCACAACCTGAGCTTCTATTTGTGTGCTAGAGCAGTTTTACAGTATGTCAGAATAGAGAATGACCGAGCTGAACAAAATTGTGTTTTCCTTATAAAATTAAATGAAGCATCTATTTTTTTTCCTGTAATAAGAAAAGACTGAATTTATTCCCTCATCTTAAACTAGAAATGTGTTCTGATGAGGTATGAGGCACTGTATGGTAGTTTGACCAAGCTTCAGGGCTTATAAAAAATTAAACATATTTAAGTAACAGGAAACCACTTTAGCTAATCAATCTTCAGGCTTCGATAGCTGGCTTCCTAGAAAGAACAAGATGAGGCTTTAAAATGCGTTACAAATGCATTTCACACAATTTACACCAAATGGTAAACCTACATTTATAGGATATTGTATCATTTTATTGAGTATAGTTTTCTCAGTTGGAAATATATGTGGATAGACAGATAGACACACAAGTATGCACATATGCACACACACAAACACACATTCTTTAAGAAGCTTAGGGATGGTTGAAGTCCTCTTTCATTGTTGCGAAGTATTTTGAAAACACAATTACTCTCAGGAAAAATTGTCACCTAGTGATCACCCTTATGAGACTTGTATGTTTTACATAATATATAATGTTGGATATTTTAAAGTGTTTTCCATTATGCCTATGAAGAATTGAATTCATTCAAATTTGAGAACAGAAACACAACTATGTAAAAATGTTTCAAATTTTTTATAAAATTAGTTTTTGTTTTCTTTATTTACATATATAAGCCTTTGAGAGCAAGGAAAAGGAGACTGCTAGGTTTTTTATTTTTATTTTTTTAATTTTTTGAAACTGTTAGGTCTTAAAGATCCTGTATTTCCTTAAATAGATGAGGCTATTTATCATTAGAATAGTCATAACTGGGAGGGGAAATGTTATTGTTGTAGTATTGGATTCCCATCAGGACAGAGAAATTTGGAAGACCCTCCAAACTGTGACCCTCTATGGTCTGCAGACCAAAGACTGTGGCTTGTGAAAATTCCATGTGAAAATTTGTTTCCCCATCTTTTCTTCCTATCAAAAGCAGCAAGGTACAAATTTCCAAGTCAGAGTGAGTGCTAACTATTCCTATTAACTTAAAAAGTCATTACTTTATGCTTTCCATATTTTATTACTGAGGTTTGCAATGAAAAGTTCATTCTTGGTGGATCTTTCCATCAGTCTTCCAAGAGGAATCTTTGCATTTTTGGTTTGCCTGGTGATTACAGAGTGCGACCTGGATTAGCCCCTTTGGCTCTCTCCCAAGACTGGATTTTCACTTCTTGTTTCCTCACAAATTTCAGAAGTGCCTTTTTTTCCCCACAAAATACCCACAATATCCCCATTTATAGGGATTGTAGAGCATAAAAACAATTGACTATAGTATATTATATTGAAACTTTTTTATGTATTTAGTACAGGGGCTACAGAGTCTCACTATGTAGATCAGACTAGTAGTGATCCTTCTATTTTCAGCCTCCCAAGTGTTGGGATTATAGGCATGTGCTGCCACACCCAGTCTTATTCACCATCTCAGCACACCAGGGGCAGGGCTGACATGGCTTGTGGTGCCCGGGACTGAACCCCGGTAGCTGTGGCTGCCTAAGCAGGCACTTTAATCTACTGAGCTATCTGGCTGGCCCTATATGTTGAAACTTTCAAAGGGACTCAACAATTTTTAATTCTTGACTTTTCCCCACTGCTTGCCTACCTAAAGTGTGGGCAAGTGTATACTTTTCCTTTTTGACTTATGCTCCATAATTATAGATAATAATTTTGTAAGATAACATCTGAAATTTGAATAATTTTATAAAATTCAAAAATCGCATTTCGGCAGCCAGATTATTGAAGTATTATTGTATTTTCTGAGGCAATGACTCTGTTTATATGACTGTTACTTTTGTCCCTGTGAAGTTGGGTGGTTGTTGCAACTAGCTCATGAAAAATAGTGTTGAAGGAAGGAGGGTACAAATGTCGGCATTTCCGGTATCTTTTGTTCTGTTCTGAAGATTGTTCTGTTAGTGATTGTTCTTGCCTATAAAGAACACAAAACTCAGGCTGAAAACAGGCTGGGCTGGATGTGACCCATAGCCACCCTGTGTAGAGATTCATGCATTACGATAGTGCTTAGTGTAATCTTCTTACTTGGGAGAGAAAACTTATATGGATCTCATAGGAAAACAATATGAAGGTACTTTTGCTGAAGAAGATCTGTGTTCACTCTGGTTTCCAAAGTACATACATCTTTTTGTTTGCAAATCTTAGGAAAAATACTTAAAATGTAAGACTATTTTTTATTTTGGTACATATGTAACAGCAACATTAAAAAGATAGTTTTTTTAAAACTCTATAATATAAATCAAGAGAATGGAAACCTTAGACTGTTAATTAAAGTAATTTTACTAAAAATAGTCATACTGAAACACAATAATAAACACCAAAAAGGACAACTTAATGACAATACTTTCCATTCATCTCACCAGATTGCCTTAAATTCATTATAATAATTTTACTCTGTCAGAAAATAAATAATACACTTTCAGTTTGTTTAGATGATCTTTTAACTTTTGAATAGCTTTATTTTTCTTCCCTTAATCTGAAGGAGAGGTCAAGTATTTTAATGACAATAATAGAAAGTGTACGAAATTTCAGCTGTTGTGGAGGATCTTGCAGTCCCTTCATAAACGGTTTAGAAGTACTAATATATTTTAAGGGATACTTTTGTTCCTTGGTCAAGGGCGTTTGTTTGTGGCATTAGAATTTTTTATTTCCCTAATATGCACTAACCACTAGTAAGCTATCACTTGCGTCTCACAGTCTTTACTGCGGAGCATTACTATTAGCATTTAAGGTAGACCAATCTTAGTATCTAACATAATTTGCCAGCTATATTATTAATTTGTATGTAAAGTAGCTAACAAGTATGCAGATTTCTGTGGGACTGGTAGGATCCTTCTTTCTTACAAATTTTAGGAAACTGCAGGAAAAGAAAACAGGCAAAGCAAAATTTCTCAGAAAACAAAAAGTCATTTTCATAAGAGAGTTTAATACTATGTCATTACTATGGAAGCTTGAATAAGACTTAAATGTATAGCTATTATTTTTGTAGTATGTACTTTCTGAAAATAGGAAATATTGTGCTTTCTTTATGTAGTATCTGTATGGCTTTTTTTTTCTGCCCATCCTGAAGGCAGGGGTGGTGTGGCATGTGGTGCCAGGGATCAGACTGCGGTCCTCTGCACCTGCATAAGCTTGCCTAAGCAGGAGCTTTATACTACTGAGCTATCTCACCAGCCCTGTGTGACTTCTAAATGGTTATAACTTTTAGGCCAGGTAGGACAGCAGCTTTTGTTAGATTAGAAAGGCATTAAGGAAAAATGAAAGTGGGGATTCTTATACATTTTATTCAGTTTTTGAATAAAAAAGTATAAGGTGTGAAAGACACACAAATCATAGAAAAGAACCAAATCCAGATGATAAAGTTCCATTTTTGTAAAAGTAAATATAAAATTTACATTACTCAGTATACGCATCTCAGAAACAGAGCTACACAAATGGAGGTGGAAGGCTAATCTGCTGACCATGCTATAAACTGTTGAGCATGATTCTTTTGTGATAGAAACTGCACATTTACATATGAAACCACCAAACAGCAGGGTTGAAGTCAGTGTTGCTGTAGTGAAATAATCCTGGTGACCCCAGTGCACGTGTATACTTTTCTGTGAAAATAAGAGTCCTTGTGATTTATTTGATAGGCTGTAATGCTAATTTCATAGCTTGAGAAGAAGAGTTCTATGAGCCCCAGTTGATGGACACTCTCCACTCATCCTCCTTCATTGAAAACTGGGGTGCATCTGTTTAGTTTTCAGGTGCCAAAAGATAAAGAGGAATGAAAATCTGACCAGTATGATTTGGAATAATTGCATTCGCAGTTTTACTTTCTCCAAATTAACCTCAACATTTATTGTTTTCTCTTTCCTTGGGACATAGTTCCTTTAGCGAAAGTCTTGGTGGAAATTTTCAGCGAGAGGAAGCCATGTTGAGATAGGACATTTTGCTTCTGGTTATTTTAATCGAATTATATAATTTGTTCAAGGAAAAAGCTGAAATTGAAGGATTTTTTTCATATTTTCTATTTTATTTGAATTGTCTCTAGTTCCAAAAAGTAGAGGAATTTGGAAGCTTACTGGTTGTTAGAAATTTTATAATTATCTAGGTTTCTTATGTGAAATAGTTTAAAGCAGTAGTGACCTCTTGTCTCATTACATACTCTTTAGTGTGCAGCAATTTTGTTAAAAAATTCGATTGTCAGTTTTTCTGAGTATTCTCAGATATGTGTATGTGGAGATCGTACTTGCATTTCTTAACAAAAAACACAGTGATTCCAATTATAAAGTTTTTGTTAAATTCTGAAGTTAAGCAGTTTAATTACTTGGAAGATTTATGTTATTTTTATTTTTCACAGGTAAAGCCCATGAAATTAAGTTGCTTAAATAGCCTCAAGTTCTTTCTGTAATTTTATCTTGATCACCTATTTTTTGCTAGATTGAGAATGTAGTTATACCTTTGCCAGACACCTAAAAGAAATCAGTATGAGCACAAAAACACGACTTCAGACTGTTGTTTTTATTTTTTTCCCTAGATGTAGGTGCATGTTGTAGCTTGCCATTGTGGTCATTGTGGTTCATCTCATTAAGCTTCTTGTCTGCTTTCTTGAGACTTGGGAAACAGTATTTTTCTGAGTGATTGTACCATATTGTTCCAAATATAAGGCCTCCCAGAATAGAAGGCAACCTCCAACTAGAAACAGCTCAAATGTGGAGAAAGGCTGGGGGCCCAGAGCCCGGCGGGTCTGGCAGTGGTGGCAAGGGTGCCGAGGAATAGGACGATGCCTGCCCACTCTCCCGGTGAGTGAAGACAAGTCAGCTGGCTGCATTTGCTGTGCAAACCAGGTGGCTTCTGTTGCTAGAGGAAAAGTTTTACTTGGGGACAGAGGAAAAGTCCTATATGGAATAAGGTTGCTGCCTATCTAAAACTGGGGAGGGAAGCTGGGGGTAGAGATGTTGCCTCTTAAATTTATGGTCTGCAGTGTTTTTTTCCATCTTTAATGTGAGGGTGAATATTGAGCAAGTCCAAATGGAAATAAATGAATGAAGGTATCCTGGACCTTTCATGAAAAGAAGTGTCAGAGATCACTGGCTCTGAAAAATGAACTAACGCCGTCACATGTCTCTAGGACATCCCAGAAATTCCTCACTCCCCTTTCCGACTGACTGCTGCCTGAGCCGCGGTGCATGCACTGTGTATCTACCCTGTGTATTCATGTGGAGCTTGAAAACAAGTCAGGCTAAGAATCGCTTTCCAGTTTTAAGATTTTCTATTTTTTGAAATTCCCTCCCTTCTAAGCCAATCAAGTACCATTTAAATAAGTGGTCATAATTTTATTGAAATATGCTCCAAGGCACTATTTAGTATCATTTCTACACTAGCTTGTCACTCACTAGTATATTTTAAAAATTAATTAGTGCCTATGTATTGGTCAACTGGTTTTATTCTACTAATTACAATGAAAGCTAATCTTTTATAGTTCTAGATGAGAGAGAATGAGTTGCTTGATTCTGATATTATAATCTTGAAGACTATCATATTGTTACTGACTTTTACCAGGTATTGAGTCATCTTTATAGCTTCATATATTTTTTTAAAAAACACATAAAACATGAACCTTCAGGGGCCAGTGATATAGCTCAGTGTCACAATGCCAGCCTGGCAAGAGCAAGGTGCTGAGTTTGATTCAAAGATCAAAACAAACAAACAAAAACCCCAAAAGCCCCATGAATTCTCGTTTTCTGATTGATTACTAGTCCATGGTTCAAAGCTAATTTGAACTTGAAGCTCAGAAAGAAATGTCATCTCCTCTACCCTACTCTGGTGGAATACTATAGGCCATGTGGCTTTTTTTTCCCCTTAAGGAAAGTGCTTTTATAAGGGTGTTTGTTTCTGAAAAGATATGCCCAGAACAGGATTTGCCTTGACAGTGTTTAAATAGTCCAGAAGATTTAGTGTGAGAATGCTATTAATTCTTAATCCAAGTTTAGATTGCAAAATTATACCAACATTAATATGCCTCTCTTTTATTTTCCCAAATTTGGGGAAAAAGATCCTTTGAAACAGAAAAACTGGGCAGAAAAATTTTGAAAGGATGAGCTGGCAGAAAGGAATCCCACAATGGGAAGATCTTAACCTGCCAGATTAGATCACCCATTAGAAGAAAAATGGCACTGTGCATGCTGAATCCTTCATGGGAGATGAAGCGAACTCTATAATATCAAAGGAGTTCCTGAGGCTGGTACCAGGAAAGGAAGAGAACAGCAGAGGAGCAGAGTTATTTAGAAGAAGACTTTCCATTATAGCTTCATAGCTTTGGAACCATTTGATTGCTACTGAGGAGGATGCTGTCTAAAATTTGGGGGCATGTGCCCCTTAACCACCTTTAAACTTCAACTAATTTGCCTTCTATTATTTGTATCAGGAATTATTATGTCTGATTTGATCTGAATTTTAAGTATAGGTTAATAGATTTTATAATTTCACTTTCCAGAGGAGTGGGGCTTTTATATTTGACAGACCTGTTTCATTATCTCCTTTTAACTTAAGTCTTGGAAGACAGAAGCTGAGGAAGTTACCTATATGTTATAGTTCATTTTTTTCTCTTTATTTTTACTAGAGTGAATGGGGACAAGACCTGGTACAACTTTTTGAGCAGGAAAAGGAAAGTAGTCTTAACAGGTTTACATGGAGGCCAGGGCAGTTGTCAAGGTCCTAGGAAGAAGTGATAGGGGAGCGGAAAGGTAGATTAAATTGCATAAATAAGAATCATTTGTAAAAACCAGTGAGTCATTAACTTCTCTGTAAACAGCACCGGGAAACACAACCCACACTATGGCTGAGGCACTGATAAGTTTTTGTGTCCCATCCCTAAAAATTCCAAATTATCAGAACTCTCCTTTGGAGATTGTGGAATTTAATTTCCCAAACCACTGCTATCTCTCTTTTATGAATTCACATAGGATACACTGATGGTGGCCCCTACAGAGGGAATTTGATTGATGGCACCAATTTAAATGGAGCAATGACTGATCTATTAGATATGGTAAAATCAGTATGTTTGTTGATAGGCAAAAATTAAATTTTTCATTTTCTCTGAGGGTAATGATCTGTTTAGAAGGAGATTTGGAAAAATTCCCATTTCTGCTTTTTTTAGGAAAGTGGATAACTGTTCCTAAGCACTGTTTTTTTTTTAAAAACTGCAGAACCCTAGGGAGAAATTCCCAGTTCTTATACAGATACTGTGACTTACACAGGACTAATTAATCATGCCCAGATTCTGATTTCCAACCAATCGTGTTGAAGAATCACTTAAGATATGTAAAGTTACATCTATTTTAGTTTCCTTTTCTTAAGGCTAGAAAACAAGGGAATTATTTGTGAAAGAAAACATTGAATTTGGTAAAATTTCTTCTGAAAATACTGTACCATAGGTGTTTCCCCTAAAGAAGGGTTTATAAGAAACACTTTCTCCAATGCAAAAAAGCTATATGCCTGTATTTTCTGAGACATACAGAATGTGGTGTCTGACCTGCTGAGCAAGCATGTTGAACTCAGCTGGGGAGTAACTCATGAATTCCCTGTTCTTGAGTATTTTAAGTTTCAAAATTATGTTTGAAATGGTTTTTAATGGCCATTCCCTGGAGGGCATTAGTGTCTTTGGTATATCAGAGATGACATGTGTAGGACATGTGTATGAATGACTCTTGGTTAAAGGTGCTTCAAGTTAACAATGTTAACTTGAAATGTTAACAATATCAACTTAAAGTGTTGATAGCATTTTAGGCTAGGCTAGAAACAAAGTATCAAGATGACTAATTCTCACTTGGCAGTGAAGTTGAATATTGAATGACATCTATGTAGTTATAAACGACTTTTGTTTTAATAACAAAGTTGTTGATTTTCTACTAAGGGTTCTTTTAGGTTGTCATCAGGGGCTGATGGGAGTAACAGTTCACCCAACTCTCCAGCTAGCTTCAGTGGACATACCACACCTTCTCAGCAGCCTGAACCTGTGGTACATTCTCTTAAGGTAACCAACCGTGTGCAACCCTTTATCCAGAACTTCAGTTGTGTGTGACTTGTTTGCTGTAGTCCGGTAGTTCTCACAGTCTTGCTTTAACCATAGATACTTTATTTTTTTACCCTTCATGGTAAAACTTTTAATCTTAATTTTTGAAGTACGATTTTCAAGTTTTAAGCTAACAATGGGTTTGAGTACTTATGGTTGAAACTTATCATTTTGTTTTGAGTAATGTGATTCATATCTCTCTGCATCAAAGTTGAAGTCTGTTGTGCATGTATATTCATATGTGTAAAATATTGTTATAGCTATTGTATGTGCAGTGTTTGTAACATGGATGTCTTTAAGTATAAAGAATTAATAGTTTGTAAAAATGAAGACTGCCATATTTTTACTTTTATAATGCAATTGAGAACATGGAAATCAATGAAAAGAAGGCATTGAAATAAATAATCTTTTTCATGTAGTAAGTGGAAATTAGGTCTTCAAACTGCAGTTAGAAAATAGATATATGTTTCAAAATATAAAGTTAATTAATTTTTAAAAATTTTACTTCAGATTTTACAATAACTTAAAACTGGGAAAATTTATCATATTTAAACAATAAGCCTGAGGAGATAGCTCAGTGGCTTAAGTGACTGCTTGGCAAGTGCAAGGTTCTGATTTCAGTCCCTGATACAAAAATAAAATAAAATAAAAAGTAAATAATAAGGAGCTTTCCAGTTAGATAAATCAGTAAGTAAGCATCATAAGTAAAATTAATATTTAGTAATGTAAATATTTACTTAAGAAATTGATGCAGAAATAAAAATCATCTAAAAATTAAGATACCACCTTGACATTTTATCAATTCAAATATATTAAACACATAATTATATGGCTATAGGTACCATTCCTATGAAGTCTTGATTGAACCAGTAGTTAGAAAAAGTAGGCAGACAGCTTCAGTTCTGTTTATGCTCCATAAGTTACCCAGCGTTAGTTAAAATTACTTCACCTTACATGATTCATCATCAGACTGAAGGTGTACACTGTTGAAATAGGTCACACCTTCCACTTTCCATGACACACATAATTAGATAATAACCTTGAAATGTTTGCTTTTGCAATGATTTAGTTTTGGCCAAAGATTTAGTCATCTCAATAGAGTTTGCTTTAGCTTGTAGAAAGTTGAGTTTTCTCTTTACACACCCATACTGACTGGATGAGAAAGAGCAGATCTGCTGCTGTCGCCATGAACAATACATGGGAGAGTTCCCGTCTTGGTTGGGATCATTCACAGAGTGAACAATGAGGGCAATGCATAGGAAGGCATGAGGGACCCTGGCCTACACCTAGTAGGAACTGGCTTATTGCTTGAAGATCATTTTGCTCTCTGCAGTAGCGTTTGAATGAACTGAAAATGTGTCAGGCCCTAGCAATTGTAAAGAGATTAACTTTAGTTTTGTAGCATTTTAGTGCTGCACAACTGAAAGCAGTACCTTACCTTGCTACTCCCAATTGAAAACAATTCAGCTTGTTGCCTTTTTAGATGCTTAGTGGTATTTGAGTACTATCAACATAGTAGGTATATACTGGCACATTCATAGTAGCATATTGAAATCTTTTCCCTTATTTCTCAATGCAGTAGCTATTAGTATGGCCTCAAAGGAAGGAAAGGGCTCCTTAATTTTTCTGAATTCCTTCTCTAATTTTTATGTTAAATTTTCTCTCAAGAGAGGATGCTATTGTTACAATCGGAGCATATTAATGTGCTTGTTTGGCAGATGAGTGACAGTGAACAGCTGAAGCATCATTACTGGACAACTAGAGGCCTTTGAATATAAAATATGTCTGCTTTCATCAGCTAGCTGTGTACTAAAACAGAAGTCTGCACCACAGTCTTTGGAGAATGTTAACAAGAGCTCGGTGGTCAGAAAAGTGGCTGCTTGTTGTGCTGCAAGACTTTTCTGCCCTAAAGAGAGTAATCAGTGCACTGGCTCTGTTTCTCACTTTCTGATGGCTCTAATGAACTCTGTAGTCATGGTTTGTAGGGAACTGTTAAAAATCAGTCTGAAAAGTGAGTCCCTTCATCATGACATTGTATTTCTCTGACTTTAAACTTCTTGATTGTTTTACTCATTGATGCTTCATTTCATTTAGTAGAAATTAACTGAAGTGAAGTATACTTCTCCAGGATAGATTAAATTTGTGGGCAGATGAACTTGTTCAAGGGGTTCTTTGTTCCTTGACTGTGTAGTGCACACAGTCAACGACTTCCCTAAGTATGTAAAAAATGTGAGTTCAGTATGAGGTGAGTCATTAGGACTTTGACAAGTGCTATCTATCTAGTAAGGAGTTTGAGATCAACAGTAAGATAATGTGTAAATTAGACTACTTATTACAAGATTACATAATAGTTTCAGCTATGATCTATATATCTGGCATGATTTTCCCACCTGTTCTTTGGTGCTCCTGTAGATGTAGCCATGCGTACTAACCGTGCCCAAATGGAAGCAAAGAATTTATCAGTGATACAGTGCAGCATGGATTCTCTGGGAGTATTTAGGAAAAACAGATTTTATGTTACCTTGCTGGTTTGGTTGGTAAATTGATATAAAGAAAAAAATAATAAACAATTCAAACCCAAAGTTTTGTTTCTCTTTGTATTGTAAAACCTATCCATATGAAAACTTTGATGTTATTAAAGAAATGGTTCAATGCATTTAGGGATAATTTAGAGACTTGGAAACATAGGCCTATAAAACTGTTTGAAGAATTTCTTAACTGGACATTTCACTAATGAAAAATGAAGTGTTGCTCAAAAGGCTTCCATTGTAAGGAGGCAGTGTTTTTCTTTGCTACTACCAAAGAGAAATCACCAAAGTCTTTTTGTAGCCACTAGGAACATCCAGGCCAGATGTGTGAGTCAGTCCTATGTTCATAGTCTTTTTTTGTTTATCTTTTCTATGGCTATATCTACATATCATTTGGGCTGTTTGGCATATAATTATATTGATCACTATTAAAGTAGACCAAGAATTATGGACTGTCTCCAAATGATTATGGACTGTCTCCAAATGATTCAGAACATTAGGTTATCTTTTAAGTGTATCTAATTATTTTAGACATTAGTAAACTCAACTGCTAATGATACAATGGGTTTCTTTCAATGACAGCTTGAAATCAAGTAGAATTTATTTTAGATAGGTTTCAGGACAATAAACTATTTTATAAAGATTTTTGCTGTATTTTAATCCATTCTAATATGCAGACAAAGGTTTTTAAAAAATGGAGCTCCTTAATGGTTTTATCATAACTAACAAGTTTTTTTTTTTTCCTGTGTGAAATTTGCTTTTCTTTTTCAACAAATCCAGGTCTTGGATGTTCAGGAAACTATAGATCGTCAACAGGGTAAAGAGTATGAACATGACCTTAGTGAGACAGAAAAAGCTATAGTCAGAGAAATGTGCAATGTAAGTTTGATGCGCTTTATTTCATATTCTGTGTTGAAAGTCTCATCATAGCTTAGTTACAGCTCTAAGACCTCCTTTGAAAGTGTGAACCAAATGCCTCTACTATATGAAGAAAAAAACCCCACAAAACTGTCCTTGTTTTTTGCCTTCAGTATATTTTTATTGCAGGCTTATTAACCCACTATCAGAGGGCTGGGGCGGTAACTCGGTATAATAATGTTTACCTAGCATGTGTGAGGTCCTGGATTCAATCACTAGGACCATAACATGAGAAATCAGATTAAAATAAGTCAATTGTATTTCAGAATGATCAGTGAGCTTCTCTAATTTATTATAAAAAAGTTGCTAATTTTGATAAATTAAATGAGCTTTGTCTCTTACTTGTAAGACATTTAAAACTTAGTGTTTAAAAATCTATTGCAGACTTAAGATTTATGTGTGATTATTCTTAGAAAATATCACTGCCTTCCTAGGTTACATTTGCTTAGTTCTTCAAACATGAAATGTATACTTCATGTCATGAAAAGAATTCTCTTGGCTTCTCACTAGTTAACATAACTCAGAGTAGTTGAGGTGAGACTGACAGGAAGCTAAGGGATAGTTAGATTAGTGACAGTTTGTTCATAAAGTAGAGAGAAAAATTTTTAAATTTTAAAAATTATAATATTTTTATGGCATCTATCCAATGTAATTATTAACATGGTTTGGATTTTCACTAAATTTTAAATTTGTAGTAATATGCATGGGATAAAGCATTTAATCAAGAATATAGTTTATGAGACTTTAAAGAGCCAAATGGGATATCATAGAGGAAGCCATTTGTTAAAGATAAGAAATCAGGTTTAAGGACTAGTTATAAGAAGCGCTAATTTTAATTGGCTTTGTAATATACTTTTATCCTTATATTCTTTTCTCCATTAATCTAGAAAATGTGCTTCTAGAAATACCTCTTAGGTTTAGAGCTATTAGGACTAGATATTCTCATATCCTCATCCACCTCCTCGAGATGTTTCTAGAACCCAGTAAATGTAGCCTAAGTTTATTGGAATTTTTTACATGTGCTGGGGGTGGTGTGGGGCTGGCTTCCTGCTTACCTGTGTTGTGGCTGCTTTTTCTTTTGCAACCCTTACCAAGCTGTTTTCTTTCATGAACATTGATTGTTGTCTGTTTTTAAAAGGTCACTGGTTCTAGATGTCACCATTTTCTACTTACATACTTTTCACCTGTTGTAGCTTTTCAACTTGTGCTAGAGATTTTCAATTTTAATAATTTCTTTTGATACATTTAAAATTTTGAGCCACATACCTGAGAGACAATTTGTGAAACTTTGGAATGAGCAATAAAACTTAGGGCTGGGGAAATAGCTCAGTGGTCTAAGTGCCTGCTTGGCATGCTCAAGGACCTGAGTTTGATCCCCAGCACTGCATGCTGTGCTGGCCCAGAAACCGGGCATGATGGGGCACACATGTAACCTCAGCTCTGGGGAGGCTGAGACAGAAGAATCACTATGAATCGGAACTGCATAGCAAGACCCTGTATCAAATAAACAAATAAAAATAAATTTTTAAAAAGAAATAAAATGCAAATAATGCAAAGTGTAGAACTAGAAGGGATCACAGAGGTGAGTCTCCAAAGAGGAATGTGTGAAGCTCCTTTGTAATTAAATATCTGATATTTTAAAACATCTTACAACAAGAGATTTGATATGAACCCCTATACGAAACCCAACATTCACATTTTATGTTTTAAGGAATTAAGATTTAGAAATTAAGCTATTTGCTCAACCTTTTTTCTAATGAACACTGAAGTCAAGAGTAAACTTAGGGCTGGTGAGATGGCTCAGTGGTCTAAGGCACCTACTTAGAACAAGCTTAGCAAAGCACAGGGACCGCGGTTCAATCACCCAGCATCACATGCCAGCCAGCCCCGCCCCCTGGTGGGCTGAGCTGGCCACACACACACACACACACACACACACACACACACACACATATAAATAAAATAATTTTTTTTTTAAAAAAAGAGTAAACTTAGACCTTTGAGGACATCTGTCATGTTTGTAAACTGTAATAAACCTGGAGAATTTCAAATTCTTTCCTATAAAATTAAAACTACCCTGTCTTGTAGATATAGGTTCATGTCTCCATTGTATTTAATGTCAGAATTTCTGTAAAGAAATGCCAAAATTGGGTTTTGCCCTCTTTTTCTGCTTTCCCCCCTTCCTTCATGAAAGAACTCAATGTTTACAAAATTCATTTCTTTAGTCTTAGAAGAAATCCACTACGACAGTGGATGTTGATTAACTTTTTCTTTATTTTGTTATTTTACTGTATTTTCAAAAATGTTTCAAAAGGCACCATATAGTGTTGGGTTTTTTTTTTTTTTATCATGCAGGATACTTTGAGAAACCCAAAAATCTTATCCTCCTGTTAACTTTTAAAAGTTTCCTAAGGTATCTAAGGTGTACTTTTGTTTTTAATTTCTAGAATTTGAGAAAAAATTGCACACTGGCTTAGATCTGATTCTTTTTTTTTTTTTCAGTACCAAGGATTGAACTTAGGACCCTGTGCTTGCCAGGCAGGCACTTAATTCTACTGAGCTATCTCCCTGGCCCTTTAGATCTGATTCTTTGGGGGGTATTTTTAGATCTAATTCTTAAGAACACATATTTGAAAATAATTTAAAGTCAAAGAAAAGAAGTGTTGATTTAAAATAATATCGGCTTCACCATTAGAAATTATAGCCATCAAAAGTACACAGTGAATATTGGAGAATAAAGAGATATACAAATTACAAGATGTTTTACAGATAAGTAATTTCTTAGAAACTAGTGAAGATTATGAAGCTGTCATTCCTATTGGAGCAAATGCATGTTTTTATAATAGTATCACAGGGATGTAACAGTTTCTCCTGATGTAAGATCAGTTATAAGACTCAGATAGAATCTGGGGTAATGAAGTTTTTCCATACTTCTTGGTGTTTCTTATGGAGAGAAGTTATTGACATCTATGCAGTGAAAAGATTAGTATTCATAGCACCACCATGTTAGTAAACATTCAGGCAATTAATCTCTTTCAGAGATAAATAACTTTCCCATTAAAAATTAATACATCTGTTGGGTCGGGGAGATAGCTCAGTGGAGTAAGTGCTTGCCTGGCAAGCACAGGGTCCCGAGTTGAATCCCTGGTACTGAAAAAATAAATTAATACATCTATCTTTCTTTAGAATCTATTTTTTTTATTTTGGGATTATCTATTTAGCTCTTATAGCATTTCCAGACAGTGGTTGAAATACTGGTCATTTCACTCACAATCTCAAACACACTGCTATTGTGTTTCCTAGTTATTTAGTCCTATTCCTGTGTTCACTATGGATAAGTGGTTTATTTCAGATTCTGCCTTCTGAGAGAGTTTTCTTTCATTATATTATAATACCTTGACGAATGCTCATTGTGTTCCACATCTGAATAATTAAAGAGAGGTGTTGCATTTTTTAGTTTTAACCCATGTTTAGGGTCTCTGATCCATCTGAGGCCTTCATATCTACCTTGTCTCCAAAATAGTTGTTCTGACATTCTGGATAGACATAATTGTACTTACACACTGGAAAGTGAACAGCCATACTTTCGGCTTCTTGATTCAGTACTTGTACCTTTTTAGTCAATTTATTAAGAGACTTTTCTAACTTGATTTGTTTAATTTGAGTTATTTATTGATATGAAACTCTTTTCTAAACATTCAAAGACAATAATTGCAACTCTCCTTGAGTACGCCAGGACATTTTACTATGTGGTGATGTCTTCTGAAAAAGACGTAATAACTCATTTGGCTTAGAAATGATGATAGACAGAGTCTTATATTCTATGTATTGCTATGAATGATATTGGGTTACTCTGGAGTTTCCATCTCTATTTAAAAGGAAAACACAAATTAAAAATACTGCAATCTGAATAATTAATGGGCAGCTTCTTAAATTCATGATAGAGCATTATAAATTATTATGAAATTCATCTAACATAGTTCTAGTGAAACAGTGTGGGAGGGTTATGGCTGTCATCACATGTGTACCTATTCTAATCATTATTAGTATATTGGTATATCATTTGTGACTTCCAAAGTTTTTGTTTATACTTAAATTGTTCTTGATCTCACCTTTTCTTAACATCCCTCTGAAGTAGCCCAGTTTTTAACAAGTTGTAATTTAACAGGTTGTATCTCTTTCAAAGATTCTGAAATTTATTTTTACATTTTTTTCTATATTCTGGTGCTTTATTTTACAAATATGAGAAAATTGTTTAGTAGTTAAGACTTGTGACCACTGTAGGCCTCACTCTGTAGAGACATTTAGGGAGATTGATTAGCAGATTTAAGACTACCAGCTCATTGTTTGTATAGCTAGAGGCCAAAAACTTCTTCATTTTCCTAGGTGAATTAGACATTTCATGTGTGATGTGGAGATAAGAATATTCTTGTTAAAGGTCTCTTCATTCAGTCTACACATTAGAATCACTTAGGAAGCTTTCTAAGAAATACAATTGCCCGTGACAATAAAATCAGAATTTCTAAAGCAGAAAGTTTCTGTTTATGAATCCAAGTGCTTCATATGCAGCCAGATTTGAGGACCACTCAGGTAACTAGAGTAGGTTGGCACATCATTCTTTCATTTAGCCCCTGGTGGCTGCCAAGGTGTAGTAGTCCCCTCTGCAGAGTGGTTCTTTTGATCAGAAGCTTGTCATTGTGTTTTATTTTGTGTCTGAATTCATTCATGTGGATATTTTGTCTCCTGTCTCTGTATACATCTTTGCCTCTCTCATAGCTTCCCCTTAAAACCCACAAATCTTTTCTGAAAAGAAGTCAAGATTGCTTACTCTTTATTTTTCTTTTATTTAAAAGGTTGTGTGGAGGAAACTTGGAGATGCTGCCGGTTCATGTCCTGGAATTAGGCAGCATCTATCAGGAAACCAGTACAAAGGACCAATGTGAGAAGCATTCTTTTTCAAACTTGACATCCCCACTGCCAGAGGGAAAGAGAAGGAAAAAAGAAGAAAAATAAAAGAGTATATGTTTCCACAGACCTGGACTGCTGGAATAACATGGACTGTACACTGCACACATCTCCTCCAAACCTTCTAGATATCATGTTGATACTCTTGTGTCTCACTTCCATGTCCAAAACAGTTAATCTCAACAAGGTAGTGCTGAATAATCACCATTTGGTATCAGTGTTTTCATTAGAACTAAAGTGTTTTAACTTCCCACATCTAAGATTATAATTGGGAAATCTGCATGGTTGGAAGTGTCCATTAGCGATTCAGTGGTTTTGATAGAGTTGACTTGTTCCATATAGTGGTGGAAACTTTTACCATGTAGTACTGAAGAGATGAAGAGATGATTTCCAGTTCCCTGGGGTTGAGAGCTGGGCAATTGCCTCTTATGCTTCATTGAAGAATATATTAGTTCCTGATTCATAATTAATTGAGATATAAGAGGTATGGTTTCTGGGCTTTTGTTTTGACTTTTGAGGTGCTAAAAATACCACGTAAATTCTATTACCAGCTTGAAGAGTAGCAAGACTTTGTAAAGTGCTTATTCAGAGAGTATCATTTATTTCAGTTATTGAAAATAAGTATCTTTTCTTTAATCTTGATGAGTTACTCATAGAGGAACACTTAGGGACATATCAACCTCCACAGTTATTCAGTGTATCAATTTCAACTAAAAGACAAGCAAATATAATTTTTCTAAGTGATTAGAGCTGTTAGATATTAATTTATACAATTTAGTTTCTAGACATGCTGTATATTTAATAAACTTTATGTAAACTTTAAAATATTGCACTGCATTTATGAATAAAGCTTTCTTTGCCTACTGCAGCTGTTTAATGTTTTATGAAACTAACGCATGTCCTTCATTACTGAGATTAAAGGTTCTTGTTCAGATTGCTTGAAGTTTGAAAAAGAGGTGTGCTAGCTTTGCTTAGTTTTTTTCCTTATTTTTGGTATATACATATAATATTAGAATGTGTGTATTGGAAATGCTATGATAGGTATTTTGTGTTTATCTAATGCAATGATAGTTTCTTGTATGAATGTACAAGCCTGTGACAGAATGCTATGTTTTTACTGTAGTTTAAGATTTTAAAAGTAGGGATGCAACAATTCCCAGTTTTCTGATGTCTTCTAAATTACTGAGATTTGATTCACAGAAAATATTCCTTCTTGTTCTTTTTGAAATAGGTTCATTACACAGTATATTAATTGTCAGTGGTGGGACAATATGAAAGAATTTTGCTTTGCTCTTTTGAAATGTAATTGTGATGAAAAACTAGCCCTCTATTTTCAGAAAATGTTTATGAATTAATTTACTGTAAGATTATCTCTAATTATACTGACTGGATTACAGTGTAAGCCTCTGTTTCTTTTTAAATGTTATATTTTTAAATGTTATTATTCTGTAAAAGAAAATTGCTATCTTTACACCTTTTCTCATAGGAGAATGTTCATCTTTAAGTTGTTGCATTCCTGCACTTGGCGATGTTTAAAGCAAGTTTTTGTGCCTGCAGCAGATTCTGCAGAAGCTAATTCAAGGGACACTGGTATTTGACAAACATACTTGTGTAAATTTTGATACTGTATTAAAACTATTTTTTTAAAGTTCCACATAAAACTGAGTATTAAGTATATGTGTTCATCTTAGAAATGATAATAAATTATTTAATCTCACAGTGTGTTAACTCAAAGTGTTTTTTCTTAATTGAGCAGATTTCTTTTTTTTTTTTTTTTTTTTGGGGGAACGGGGGGTTGAACTCAGGCCCTTGCACTTGGCAGGCAAGCACTTATTCTAGTGAGCCATCTCCCCAGCCCCCAGATTTCTAATAGTCACTAAATATGTTCCTGCGTAATGGTGCTAATAATAATACAGATAATTCACTATCTTAAACATAAAACAAAGCAATGGTTTAAATATTCTTACAGATAGATTTGATATTCAGATTTCTCAATTTGCACTCTTGTCTATTTAATAAAGTTAGAATGTTAGGATGATAGTGATAGTCAAGAATTTTTTAAAATTGGCTTCTATTGTGCAACATTATCATTCTTTTAATTCATATAGATTTATTTTTTAATTTTAATTTTTTCATTTATGTATTTGGTATAGGGTCTCATTATGCATTTAGGACTCATAGTGATCCTTCTGTTTTCAGCCTCCCCAGTGCTGACATTACAGGCATGCACCACCACACCTGGACTCATTCACCAGCTCAGCGTACCACAGGGGTGGGGCCGGCATGGCATGCTGGACCGGGGATTGATCCTGGTCCCTGCACTTGCCAAAGCAGGTGCTTAGTCTGCTGAGCTGTCTTGCCTGCCCTTTCATATAGGTTTAAATTAAATTTAATTTAGTTGACCATTAAACCATTAGTCATTAGAAGACATATACTGAAAGAAAAATTCTAAGGAAATGGAAAACTTAGCTTTTTGGAATATTCAAGCCTATATATAAAGAACTTTTACATTATTAGGCAAAGGTATGAGATACACATATGACCAAGGTATAAATAGGAAAACACAGATGTGCCCATATACTCTGAGACCACAGACACAGCTTGGAAATCACTGACAAAAACTAAGATGGAATACTGTTTCTTATGCTTAGCACTGGTCCCCACATTTAATGATCAAGTTTCTAGGTCAAAATGAGTGCCACTCTTCTCATATATGACCATGTAACAAATTTATAATCTTATCTTTCTGGAGATGAAGCTTAATTTACATATCTTGACAGTATTTTTTACAAGCCTTGAAGCTGATAGTCTGACAATCACAATGTAGCTTTTAATGAGAGCCTTTCAGGCCTAGTGCATTCTTACAGCATTGTAGAAAATGCAGATCATTTTATGTGACATTCAATAAAATACTGAGTCTAATTGGGATGATTGTTCCTGAGTTCGGTGAGCATTTAATGAATGCTCACCAGTTCCTGAAGAGTAAACACAGCTCTGGTTCCTAACTCATAAGGTTGACTCTTGAAGGTACACATGGGGGATTAAGTGTCTTAGATGCCAGCAGGAACGTCCTTTATCATTGAGATCTACATAGGATTGTCTCAAACATTCATTTTATCTGAGGAAACAGGAAGCATGCAAATGACTTCCACTGGTTCCGGAAATCTGTCAGCTTTGTGCTAAGCTTTCTACTGCTTCATTCTCCTTCGACCTTAGTTGTAAATTGATTTGTCCATTAGAAACCTTGGCATCCATTCCTGGAAGGGATCTGCCTATTTCAAGCAAATTTATTAAGGTTGAGTCCTGAGAAATTCATGGCATCTCCTAAAGAATCCTGGTTTCTAAAGGATAAAACTTTCCCCACCCTGTTAAACAAAGACAACATGTTAGGCAGAAACATGCAGTCACTAATACATGACCATTTTTGTTCATATCTACATTTTGTGCATATCTGCATTTTTCTATGGTTCAACCTCATAGGATCAAGATTTTTTTTTTTGATGGAAATTAGTAGAATATAAACACTATAGAAAAGAGAGAGTAATCACTTTATTCTGGAGCTATATTAGAATAGGCTAACTTCAGAACAACAATGAATAAAATGTGTTTGACTTTGGTTAGGTAGACTTTGAGCCTACAAGTTCTGTGTTTTTTTGTAAGTAAACCTGTGAATTTGAACTTTACTGAGCTTCTGTTTCCTTATGAGGAAGGGAAATAACTTCTCTTTTGCTGAGCTATAAGGTTCTTATTGCCATCTTAATTCTAGGCCCTTAACAGTACAAGTCTATCAAAACAGAAAAGCCTAGATTCATGGGCTGTGGCTACTTGTACCTTTAGGTTTGGCAAGAAAAAATATCAATGCTGAAAGATCTGTCTATTACCACATAAAGAAATTCCACCTTGCACAGTTGCATGCTGTCAACTTCTTTATATACATATCATCTAGCATATATTAGGTTATATCATGACTCATTGTAGCTAATGATTATGTAGATGGAGTAAGATAAACATCAATATGATTTTCATTTACTAATACTATGTTTAAAACCTTTTGCCATTGATGCTTTAATTTTGTATTTTTTATACAACTTGAGAACACATGAGAATGCATACTTCCATTTTCAAATGGTGGAATGAATACCTGTGACAGCAGCTTCTTGCCTTAAATCTTAAATAATATTTGAGATATTTTAATAAGTCCATTGTCCCACTAGGCCATAAAACATATTCATTTGGTCAGTGATGATGATAATTTCTTGAAGGAAAGGAGACAAATACAACTGAAGGAAAAATCAATCCATAATTCAAAGGACATAATGTAGGACATTGTAGAATAAGACCACTGGAAGAGTGTTCCAAGCAGGAAAGAGTTGATATGTGTGCAGTAGTATCCTGAGGAATTGACAATAATCATGCATTTTGCTCTTATCTATAACTACTTTTCAGAGAACAATAGAAATAGTTTCTCCAAGGCTGGGGTGGAAAGTAAGAGTATTCAAATTTGAAGAGCACTGCATTTATAGTTGGTAATACCAACTGGAAAGAGAATTTTCTGTCTCAGAACATAAGGTACCAGCATAATCTAATAACTCATGTTCTTCCAAGCCTAAAAATCTATCCTACTTCTCTAACAAGCAAGTTGTAAAATAAACATAGCAATCTAATGTAGATATTTTAGTACTAAAATGAGTATGCAACCAAGAACTATCCAACACTAAAAGTAAGCCACAACTAGGGACCTTAAGTAGAAAACAGAATAAAGCAAAGAATATCAAGGAAAAGAATAAAAATCCAGAAGCCTTCAGAACTATAGCTAAAGTTAGATTGTAAATGTTACATTCATTAAAATGAAATAATTTTGATTCTCAAGATGGCTGAGTGGAGATGCTCACAATTCACCTCTTCCTCTAAGAATCAACAAGTGTAAACAAGAAGGCAGCAACAAGTGTAAGCTGCCTTTTGTAGGAGTGGCCATGGGACAATACTGGAAAGTGAAAGAGATGAGAGCATCCTAACATTCATAAACCTAGGACAAGAGCATAAAAAGAAAAAAATACCCCAACATCTGCCACCTTAGCTCCACAACTGGGATAATGTAAATCTTGGATAAGGACAAACAAGAGTCCCAACTTTTTATGTGTATGTAGGAAACTACAGAATGGATGTAGGGCCTTCAATCTGAGCTACATCCCTAACTCTATTTTTTTCTTGTTTCTTTTCCTTTTTGTCTTTGTCTCCCTTCCTTTCCTTCCTTCTTCCTTCCTTCCTTCCTTCCTTCCTTCCTTCCTTCCTTCCTCTTTTTTCTTTCCTTTCTGTTTTTTTCTTTCTTTCTCTTTGTTTTCTTTCTCTTCCTGCCTCCCTTCCTGCTTGCTTTCTAAGGTTTTTGCTAAATTGCTAAATTATCATGCTTGGGCTCAAATTTATGACCCTCTTACCTCAACTTCTTAGGGTGCCTGGGATTATAGGCATGTGTCACCATGTCTGGCTCTAGCAAACTCTTAACATAACTGAAGGAAAAATAGATCCTTAAAATTTAGAATTTTTTTCTTAGAAATAAACTGCTTTTTAAATCTTCATGCCAAGGATGTAATCTCCCTGTCTTCTTAGCCCATAAAAGTGGACCGAATGTACAGATGTGGGACCCCAAGAAGTTGGAGTCTACTTTCATCTTCATAGGGAAGGGAAACATGGGAAAATGACCAGGGATGAAAGTGGAAACTTCTGTAGTCTGCTGTGTCATTGCACCCCTCCCCCACTCTCTCTCCTGTGGTAAAATGGCCTTGCACACTTAAACATGGGTGGCATGATGACTTGAAACAGTAAGGAAGGAGGGACTTTGCATTTGAAAATCAGGAGATCAGTTCACTTTTCCTTTGCGTCCAAGGTCATGGCTAGCCATATGTGAAGTCATACCATTTCCAGGGTTAAGTGCTTGCAACCATGTGATTCTTTTCATTTTTGTGCCTTGTACTGTAGCCAGGATTCTGTTATTAATATGACCAGGTAGTACCTCCATTGTGCCTGACCAAAGAGGTAGGCTCAGGGGCCTTTGAGCAACTCCATGGCCCTAGCTTGTCACCCTGGCCCTAGATTTGGAATAATTTTGTCTGCATCCATGTCTTCCTTCCATTCACTCCTGGGCAGACACTAGAGTTGAAGAATATGGATGGAGAAAACTCAACTGTTAGCCTGTCTTCTAGTGTACACAACCAAAAGAGTGCCTAAGGAGAATTTTGCCTGGCTTCAGGCTGTGCAGGCATTGTTACTTAAGCTGTGGAGCAGAGCACTGTAGTTCCTGCTGCTATCTCATTTACATCCTGCTATCCCAGTCCTTCACCAGGCCTGAGCATGAACAACCATCATGACTGAATGTGAGTGGCCCAGAGAGATTGCTCTGTTTTCTGTCACTGCCTCTCAACGTCTGGGTTCTCTACCATCACACATTGTAGTAAATGTATAAAAATATACAAGACAAAGACTTAAATTCTATAAAATAGATGTGTCAAGTCACACTTAAGGGTATCCTAATTTGACTAACAGTAAAGTTCTCAGAAGAAACCCTACAGGAAAAGAGGGGGTGGAATGAAGTATACCAAGTCCTAAGAGCAAACCTCCAGTCAACATTACTAAATCCAGCAAAGGTGTCCTTCAGAAACGAAGGAAAAAGACCTTCTGAGGTAAACAAAAAATGATGGGCTCTATGGTCATCAG